AGGTTACCAAGTGCAGTAAAAGACCAGCCACAAAGGTGTGGGTGGGGTTTAAAAGCAGCAAGGGATGCAGCAGGACCCCAGGGTTGGGACAGCAAGGACTCACTGCTACCTCTAGGCCTGCAGGGCCCACTTACCTGACTCCAGAGAGACCGCCTCCTGCCTCCCATGGGAACTGGGGGATGCAGTCCTTACAGGTTAGCCTCTCAGGCAGAGAGCAGGGGTGGGGTGGGAGACAGTGGGGAGGGACCTGGAAGATCTCAGGGGGGACGTGAGGACAGGCAGCCCACACCACTTTTGTCWTTCCTAGATGAGGGATTGGCTGTGTCTTCCCGTTCTCTGTTGGGATAAACCTGACATTCAAGGAATTGCCCATCAGCCCCTTCTTCTCCTTTCCTATTCCATACAGCACAGGTGTTCCACTCACCTAAGCTGGAATCCTGACTCTACAAGTCTGTTTTATATATTGCAAATGTTAAATAACTTTTAAAAAATCTTAATTTTAAAAAATCTTATGCTACTTTGAAATCCAGTTCTAAAGGGATATTTATGCTTCTGGGGACAGGCACACTCCCAGGTCTCTCCTGACTGACTGGTACTGAGATAACAATGGACCCTCTCCTTGCTGAGAGCTCTAGAACAGCAGCAAGACTCCCAGCTTGGAAGCTGGGAGGCTGTGTTTAAAGTCTAGCTCTGCCAGTTACTAACTGGACTAGTTACTCTGTCCCATACCTTCCCGTATTTCTCACTTGTTAATGGGGAGGATTGTGATAGCACTTCACGATGCTCAGGATTAAGTGAATGATGAGGGCCAGGCGTGGTAGTGCAGGAGGCTGGGGGTGGGGTGGGGTGCTGAGGCAGGAGGATCATAAGTTCAAAGCCAGCTTCAGCAACTACGAAATTCAGCGAGACCCTGTTTCTAAATAAAATACAAAAAAGGGCTGAGGATATGGCTCAGTAGTTAAGCGCCCCTGGGTTCAACACCTGTACCCCCCCCCCAAAAAAAAAGAATGCTTAGAAATTGGCATATCTATTGGCTGGGGGAAGGGACAGTGTTTTACTCACTTTGAGTCCCCTGCACTTGGCACTATGACTGGAACAAAGATGGTGTCTGATAGTTTTCTAAGCTGCATTGAGGGTGACGCTTTAAAGATCAAGGAGCTGGCCGTGTTAGGCGGCTCTGGGGTAACTCATGCCCCCACCCCATCTTTGCCAGACTTCCTGTGCCTGAAGGTTTTGCAGACTGTGGCAATAACCCACCCAACATCGAGGTCTCCAGCACCGCCTTAACATAAGGGCTGCGGAGGAGTCTCAGATGGCAACTCCCTCCCCATGTCTGGGTTTGCACTGCCATCTGGCGTGTGCTGGTGGGACAGCTAAGTTTTGAGGTTTCTGGTTGGGTGACCTTTTCTGACATTGGGGAAAAGGGGCATCCCTGCATGGGCTTTTGCAGTGGTTAGACCCTCCCACTCCCAATTTGGCTTGAGCTTTTGGAACTCTCCAAACACAGATTTTTTTTTTTAAAACAATATCTCTGATTCCTCAGTCAAGAAATAACACCATCCTCTGCAAACTCAAGTTTCTACCGTAGGCATTTTTTGTTCTGCCAAGACCCCAAAGGAATAGGGTCAAGTTTATGTGATATCTTGCCCCCTCTGCTGCCTGGCTTCTCATCCCTGGACATTTAATTCTCTTCTTAAGAGTTGGGATTGTAGGAGCAGAGGAGGCGGGGAGAACTGAACAGGCCTCTCTATCTAGTGCAAGCAGCTCTCCGCCCTCCCTGCCTGCCCTCCTCCTGCTCCCAGCCTTGCTGTCTGTCTCCCTTCTCAGATCCAAGCTCCAAGACACTGAACCCCAAGTGGGAGTCTTCTAGGGCACAGATAGGGAGTGGAGGCTAATGTCCATCTTCTGCTGACCTCGMTATGGAATCTGCTACAAAAGTCCACCTTTTAACCTCAAATTGAACCACATGAAATTGTGGAAATGGAACTATGTTCCTGAACAGCAATTTCTCTGGGTTCAATGTGATACGTCCCATTTAAACCCTAGTGCTAGTTGATGGTCTAGAGTCCCAAGTTTCCTGGGCTCATTTAGACCCAGGAGAACCAGGCTGGTGACTCACCAGATTCCTGGACTATGGAGCTGGAAGGAGAGCCTAAAGCCAGAGAGAAGACAGAGTTCACCTCAAGACCCTGACTCTGCTCCCTACATCAGAACTCTCTCTCTGCACACAGGTTCTGCAGTGAGCTCCAGGCTGGGTTTTGTTTGGGGCACACAGTCAGGGGTTAGCAAGGGAACCCTGGGGAAGACCCTCTTCTAGCCAGATGGTGGTTGCCCTCCTGGCTATTTGGGGGTTTTCTGGAGGTCCTCAGGGAGCTTCAGRTTTCTGAACACACCCAACATCTCCTACCCCTGTATCTGCTGCTGAATCCTGGTGGTGCGGAATGAACAGGAGGCCAAGCTGAGCAGAGGCAGCCCCATGACCTAGAGGACTCCTTTAGTGGCTTCTGTCCTCTGCCAGACTTTGGGGGGTGGCCACCCGAGCAGGCCCAGGCAGTAAGCATCTAAAACTTATCCAAGGGATGAAGGCAAATCAGCCTAGGAGATTTTAAGTTGCAGAGTAACAGAAGGTTTATGAGTCACAGTTTATAGGACTCACTGGGGACAAGAGAGCTTCTCCTCTGAAATTTACCTGTCTTACAATCAAAGGACCGACAGATAGGTCTTGATGTCTAGGAACCTGGTGGTGCAGGTTAGGGACCTGGTCTCTTTCCTTCCAGGAGCATGCAAACAGGAGACAGAGGGGCTCAGCTCAGACTATTTTACTCATCCATCCATCGATCCAACCATTAAGCAAATGGTTATAGAGGACCTCTATATGCCAGGCACTGTACTATGTGCTTAGCATAGAACAGTGAACAAAATAGACAAAAATCTGTTTTCCTATTATTGCAGCATCTTAGATCAGGCCATTAATAACTATGCTGTTGTCCAGCTCACATTTCTATTAAAAAATTGCTAACTCTTCTACCATGAGATAATTGAACAAAATGTGTTTTTAAACTTTAATAAAGGCAAGTGCCCCAGATATGTTAGATTTTTAGGAAGCTTTATACACAATTGGATATATCATTTCAGCCTATGTATGTTAACTACATATGCACTGGAAAAGTACAAGGAAGAAATAGCCCTTAAACATATGTGATGGTGTGTTGGATTGCATTTTCTAATATGGCCACAAGATCCCCCATCCCTTAGGCTGTTCATATAATGTAACCTTGATTCCTCCAGGGAGGCGTGAGGTCTACCTGACTCTGCGATGGAGGCAATACAGCTTCTGCCTGGTCTTCTTGAGAAGACCTATACCAGGAGGAAGCACATGCAAAACTCAAACCTAGGTGGTCTGGCAAAAGCCCCAGATGAAGTCCCAGCTAACAGCCACCATCACCAGACATAGCAATGAGGAAGTTCCAGTCACCCTCTAACTGCAACAGTAGAGACGCCAAGCCTGAACAACACAGCCTAGTCAACTCCCAGAATCCAGAGATAATAATGATCATTGTTGTTAAAGTGACAGAACTTGGTGGTAATTTGTTATCCATCAATAGGCATCCAGAAAAAGTGGTTGAGGGGCTTGGGTTGTGGCTCAGCCGTAGAGTGCTTGCCTAGCGTGTTGGAGGCCCTGGGTTTGATCCACAGCACCACATAAAAATAAATAAATAAATAAATAAATAAAACAAAGGTTAAAAAAAAAGTGGTCGATCTCTGGATTGTGGGATTATGAGTGTCAACAATACCTTTCTGCATTTTCTAAGATTTCTACAATGACCATTTATTTCCTTTATAACCAGTAAAAAAAAAAAAAAATCATGAAAAATAAAACACAGTCTGAAATTTCCCCCCACTTCACCCAGGGAGAAACTAGTTCTAAATATAAATTTAGGGACTAAACTCAATTTGAAAAGAGCTTTCTATGCAAGATTTATTAGATACTGGAAAGAAAGGATTTGGAAGATAAATTTCAGCTGACAGGAGAGAAAGAGGGGAGTAGATCTGGGATGAAGAAACTTGGAAATGAATCTCAGTTTTCTGAGTGACCTTGAGCAAGCCTTTGCTCAAAGTCAGTTTTCTATTTTGAAAAATGCAGCTGGCTGCCTAAGGAAGATAACATCCACCAGGGCGCCTGGCCCAGAAAAGGCGCTCTAAGTGGTCGGTGAATCCTGTTTAATCAATGCCAATTATCAGGGGGCATCTGCAAGCTTTGTGGAGGGCCATCCTTCACTGCCACCAGAGGCTACAGTTCTAATTATGACAATTGCCTGGAAAAGAACCACGATCCTTAAAAAAATAATAAAAAAATATATATATTAAAAAACAACTAAGCAGCTTTTTCGGGTTCTTTGACTCGGTCGCCCCGCCATGCCTGGGGCCTCGTGCTGCACCTCTCAGGAGACCCCATATGGGGCCGAGGCCAGAAAGCCAGAATGCAAGCGGGAGAGGAGCCCGGGGCAGCCGGTCTGCAGGAAGCGGCGCGGTGTCCGGGCAACGCAGGGAACGCGCCTGGGCCGGCGGCAGGTGCAGGCGGCGGCGGCGGCGGCGTCCCTCTTGCCCTCCTCTAGTCCCGGCATTCGGCAGTTCCGCCGCCAGTTGGTGCGTTGATCTCCGCCGCATTCTCCATGGAGGCCTCCGAGGGTAGACCTGGGGCTCTCCTAGAAAATGGAGTACCAAGACCCACAGGTGCAGAGGGAGCCCCTCGGTGGGCGATCCCTGCTGGGCTGGGGGTGGGGGGCGAGATCTTTCTGGAGCCCTAGGGGCGTCCGAACCCAGAAACGCCCCTGGGCTGCAAGGAGGGAGGTTCTGATTTAGAGCCCAACCCTGTGCTCTTGACTTTCAGAGGCTTGTGGAGTACATTTGTTTTGGCTGATCACCTCTCATATGAATGTCTTGTCTTTGTCTCTGGGTCACTGTTAATATTTAAAATAACCACGTGGATAGATGAGCCCATGCACACTGGAAATGGTCTGCAGAGCTGCCATCTTCCCTCCATCTCAAGATCGACCTGCAGCAGAGAGCTGGAGAAGGTTCCAGAGAAAGCTGWCTCCTGCTTGACCAAGGTGGAGAGGAAATACAGTTGAGTTCTAAGAAATCAGGAGGGCTGGGTGTAGATTTGTTGCCATATCCAGCAGGCACTATTAGAAGGCTAGTGTGTTAGTCAGCTTTCTGTTACTGTAACAAATACCTGAGATGATCAAATTATGAAGAGAAAAGGTTTATTTTGGCCTACAGATTTACAGGTTTTAGTCCATGTTGCTTTGGACCTGTARTGACACATCATAATGGGAGCATGTGGTAGAGAAAAACTACTCACCACCTCTCCAGGATGTGAAAAAGAGAGAAAGGGGGCTGGAGTACCACTGTCTTCTTCAAGGATATGCCCTAATGACCTAAGACCTCCCATAGGGCACTATCTGTTTAAAGGTCCACCACTTCCCAATAGTGCCATGTACTGGGGACCAGGCCTTTAGCACATGGGCCTTTGGGGCACATTCAAGATCCAAACTATAACATCTAGCTTGGAGGCATTTAAAAAGAGTTGCTCCACTAGTAGTTTATATCTGTGTTAATCCAAGACCTGATTAGGCAGAGTGCACCATTCTCCTAAATTACCTTGTTGGATCTTATTACAGCTCAGGAAGTATAWCACAAATGAGCAGAAGAAGTGCTTTGGTTGATAAATGGGATTTGGGATTTGACCCGAGTCTGCCAGTCTTCAGAGTCTGTGCCCTTCCATTTTTTTTTCCTTTGCTGGATATTAGTAGATTTGTGGAACTGTTTATTGGTTTAGACAGATCAGATAGAAATTATGAACACTCTAGGGAGGGGTTTAAATTAAATAATGGCTGGTCCCTCCATAATAGGTTCTTCAGGCTGAGGAGCATGCGTGGAGGCACATTTGCTTGTACAGTACAGCRTCATGGAGCAGAGAAGCGACAGTCCCCCAGAAAACTCAGGGTGAGCCCTTGCTCAGGTTGTCATTCACCTGATAGAGTGAGTGCCCTGTGTGTTGCCAAAAGGGGCTAGAGAATGGCCCACCTTTGCCCCATCAGATTTTAGATTGGTCTCTGTTCTCCTGGACCCCAGGTGTGATCTTTGGATTCTCCTTTGTAGTAAGGAGAGAGGAGGGAGGTATGGTGACCCACCCCCAGCTGTAAACTGAGCCTGGTGGCAGGGACAGCAAGGAGAAAAGGGTTCTGGGATTTGAACTTCAAGCTCCAGAGCTTCCTCAGTTTCCAAATTTAGTTTGGGGTAAAGKAAGAAGCTGCTGTTTATAAAGGGTGGAGCGAGGGAGGCACCATGCTTCAGAGTTAGGGGTACCCTAGGCCCTGGCATCAGCAGACCACATTATCCAAAGAAGCATAATTTCCTTTTCCTTTTCTTAGGAGACCACATTGGAACTCAGTTTAACATGGAGTTCATGGGTTGGAGGAAAGGAGGGGACCCACAAATCAGTCAGACACACGCGTGAGTGTGTGCTATGTGCACCTTTCCAGCAGAGAGTGCGTGGGAGGGTGTCCTGGCATCAAAAAATGTTTACAAGCCACTGCCCCAGACCGTTAGCTTGCTTGTTGAGCAGAGAAGCAGGAGTGGGAAGCTGAGTGTTTGCTTAAAAGGGTGTCCATGTTAAACTAACAGGGATTGATGTATTATTTGTTTCCCCGCCTGACAGAGGTATTGTGAAAGTTGTCTGAGCTGACAAGTGTGTGAAAGTGCTCTGGTTATGGAAGGTGATGGATATCACACTAAACTACATTTTATAAATTGTGCTCCTTATTATTGAAACTTTGAAAGAGTTATTTGATGCTTATGGGACTCAAATTTTTTTATCTGTTCATTTTATTTGTAATTATGGGCTCCTTTTCATTTCTAATACTGTTTACTTGTGTTTTAAATTTTGTCCTTGAACTCTGTTTATCCACCTCCTTCATTTTTTTCATGTTCTAGTTCTGATAATCTTACTAATTTTATTAATTTCTGTTCTTATTTTATGATTTCCTTCCTTATCACTTGTAGGGGTTACTCTTTCTTTCTTTCTTTTTTTATTCTCGGGATTGAAGCCAGGGGTGCTTAACCATTGAGCCGCATTTCCAGCCCCTTTTTAAATTTAGAGACATGGTCTTGCTAAGTTTCTGAGGCTGGCTTTGAACTTGCAATCCTCCTGCCTCAACCTTCTGAGTTGCTGGGATCATAGGTGTGTGCCACCATGCCCAGCTTCCTTACTTCTTAAATTGAAAGTTTATCTCATTAGTTTTGGAAACTTTTGTTTTTGAACATTATAATCTCCCTGTACCGTCTAAAGACAGACATTTTTCACAGTTTGCATCTCTGAAGTTGGGACTGATCTTATCAGCACYGCAGGCCTAGCAGCAGGTGCAGAGCAGTTGTGTAGTCTTTGCTGTATGAGCATTGAGGCATGAAAAAGGCTTGCCCAGAGCTGGGAAGAAAATCCCAGAAGCAATCAAGAAACTCTCATTTAAGAAGTGTTGCGCTGAGGTCAAAAGCAGGTGGGAAATGTGAATTGAGTTGATGTAGGAGTCAGACTTTTGATGTGAATGAGGGGTAATAATGCCTTTGCATTATTATCTTTACTTATTTTCTCTCTTTACTTATACATATGAATCATGAGATTTAAATTTGCATCTAAGTCTAAAAGAATGCTTTAATAAGGGTAAAATAAAAATTCAAAGCGGTAAAAGTACCGTGTTTTTAATTGACAGCTTTTATTCCTTGAGGTTCATAAAATAAAAATGTTGTTCAAACTGATGGTATCTTAGATCCAGTGAAATACAGTATATGCACTTAAGTCTCCAATTTGTAATTACTGTTTTTGTTGAATCCCACAAGTTTTGATAGATAGTATTTATGTCCATTGATCATTAAGCATCCCATGATTTCCATTATGATTTGTTCTTTTGTATGAATTATTTAGAGTTGTGGTTTGAGTTTCCAGACTTATGGATGGWTTTTGGCTGTCTTTTTATTATTGATTTCCAGTTGCATTGCATTGTGGTCAGAGCATGGTCTAGATTGTGTTTGTTGACACTTTTTTTGTGGCTTTTTATTGTCTGGGTAGTTCCTCCTTTGACAGCTGGGGACCGTCCCTTCCTCCTTACAGTGCTGCTCTTTTCCTGCCCCCTCCACKGGGCTCGATTTTATTCCAGCAATTCACACGGCTTGACCTCAGTGTACCTGGGGCTGCTCTAGGCTCTGGGGCACATTCCAGAACAGCATTTCCCTCAGTCGGCTGGCCCTACAAATCGTCYGAGGTGGTTCTTAAACACATTCATTCCCAGGTGGTCTCTTGTAGGTCTGGAATCTGCATGTTGAACGAGTGCCCTGCGTTGATTCTTATGAGCCAGCAAATTTGGGAAATTCTGTGTGGTTGGGAATTGGAAAAGGGGGCTGGATGGAGAATAGTGTAGTGATGGAATCAAACTTGAGAAGAGTTTGTGGGAGGGGAACTTGTCCAAAATACAGATTTGCTTAGAAAGATTCTAATTTAATAGGTCTATGATGGGATTTGGGAGTCTTTTTTTTTCTTTTTTGGGGGTCCCAGGGATTGGACCCAGGGGTGCTTAACCACTGAGCCATATCCCCAGTCCATATGCATGTGAAGCATGATCCTATGTAGGCAAAATAGCAGTTAATTTTAAAATGTACTTCTCTGAGAAGTCTCGTATTTCTTTTAACCAGAGGTAATAGTGTGTCTATAGACCTTCTGTGCTCTATGAAGTTATGCACAAAGAAATGCAATATCTTTTTCATGATTGGACAAGACAGCCATGTATCCAAATAAAGTGATAAGAAACAGATTGACTTTTACTATCTGTACATTGTATGCATTGTCTCTGTCTGACAGTTACTGGTTTTCAGGACTTCCTTACTTGTGATTGTGTGTGGTTAGGGAGTTATAATTCTTTTTTAATTTATTCATGGAAACTCTGAGATCTACTTTGTGCCAGCCATGTCCTGGATGCTACTAAAATGAAAAAGTCAGTCTTAGGGGAAGGGGTGCAGATTAATGAATGATTCCACAGTGGGAGGGCCATCCCTGGACGTTTTTTGAAGGCAGTTCTTTCGGTCATGATTACCATCTGTATTCACTATCCTATGAACAAACCTTTTGGAAAGTTGTATCGAGATGTTCAATACAGTGTACTGTGATGGGCAGCTGGACTCTGATCTCACCTGCACTCAGTTCAGAGTACCTACCTGTTTGTAGAGGCAGGCAGTCTAGCTTTGACTGTGCTATCACAGATACTTTGATCAAATCTGTGCCTAGATGTTTGTATTCTATGTGATCATAGACAAGTTGTTATCTTTCTGAGCCTATGGTATCATTGTAAAACGTGGAGGGGAGGGAGATAAGTAACACCTACATCTGTGAGCTATTTTTTTTTAAACATTTTCAATTGTAGATGGACATAATACCTTTATTTTATTTATTTTTATGTCATGCTGAGGATTGAACCCAGTGCCTCACACATGCTAGGCAAGCATTCTACCACTGAGCTACAATCCCAGCCTATGAGCTGTTGTGGGAGATAAATGGGAAAAGGTGTGTTAGGTGTTAACATAATTCCCTGTATGTAGTAAATGCTCAATAATGTTAGCTGTTTAGAAAGAAAACTATTTATAATCTATGGAATCAGACAGAGTGGCAGGCATTTCAAAGAAATAAATGAATGGCAGTAAGTGATTAAATGGCAATATCTCTTTTGCAGGTGCTAAATGCAATAATTTCTTAGAACCTAACACCACATCCTCTGGCAGAAGGGTCACCCCCTCATCCTCTGTTGAAACAGGACTGTGTGTCAGTGAGCCTCCGCGCCTCACCAGAGTGAGTGCTCACCTAGAGTAAGTAAGGGCCTCATGGAGAGACGCCACTGTTGGGATTAAACTCTGATCAAGAAGCTGATGATCTGACATGTAGTGCTTGGCACAGGTGTGGATTTTGGAGCTAAATGGTCTGGGTTCAAGTCCCAGCTCTGCAACTTAGTATCTAAGTGAACTTGAGTAAAATACTTTACCTCTCTAAGCTTCATTTGTAAATGAGGATAATACTTCTAAGGATTGTTTTGAGGATTAAATGAGATTATACATGAAAAGTGATTGGGAGACTCCCTGGCACACAGTAAGTGCTGTGTAAGTGCTTGTTATTATAAAATTCAAAAAGTAGGTGAAATTAAAGTGTATTTTTAAAAATATTTTTTTAGTTGTTGGTAGGCCTTTATTTATTTGCTTATTTATAGGTGGTGCTGGGAATCGAAMCCWGTGCCTCACATGGACGATGCAAATGCTCTACCTCTGAGCTACTACTCCTGCCCCTAAAGTGTATTTTTTGGAGAATACATAGGCACACATAGGTGGTAAAACCTGAAAAAAGAAAAAAAAAAAAAAAGGAAAGAAATTGCTATCCTAAGAGTGACAGGGTGTAGTCACGTCTCCTGGGAAGGGATGTGGTTGGGGGGAGGGAGCTGGCAGTGTTCTATCTGTTCTTTGAGATGTTGGTTTTATAATTGTAAGACTGTATTTATGTTTTAGATACTTTTTTGAGGGGGGTTAGTGGGGATTAAACTCAGGGGCACTCGACCACTGAGCACATCCCCAGCCCTATTTTGTGTTTCATTTAGAGACAGGGTCTCAGTGAGTTGCTTAGAGTCTTTCTTTTGCTGAGGTTGGCTTTGAACTCATGATCTTCCTGCCTCTGCCTGTGGAGCAGCTGGAATTACAGGCATTTGTCACTGTGCCCAGCTTTAGATGCTCTTCTCTGTATTTTTTTTTTTTTTTACAGTAATACATTTTGAAAACTCTTTTCTAAGATGTTTGTTATAATGAAAGTTTATTATAGAAATTTAAAAAGTATAAAACAYTATTAAAATTACACACCTGAGAGAATAAATTTGAACATTTTGATACTATTTTTTTTTGTATGTGTGTGTGTAGGATTGAACCTTAAATATGCTAAGTTCTCTACTACTGAGCTACACATCCTCTCTTGATATTAGTTTTTTATATGTGTAAGAGAATTTTTTTCTTATGCATGCAAATATATATTTATTTTATACAATTAAGAGCATATACTACCCTTTTGTAAAACCTGCTTTTAAAAAAGATTCATTTGGGCTGGGGTTGTGGCTCAGCGGTAGAGCACTCGCCTGGCATATGCAAGGCCCTGGTTTGATCTTCAGCACCACATAAAAATAAATAAATAAAGTAAAGGTATTGTGTCCAMCTACAACTAGAGAAAAAAAATCCATTTAAAGTTTTACTCCAATTGGAGGACTTTTAAGTTCGCAGGGAAATTGAAGGGAGAAGGTACAGAGAGTTCCCATGTACCCTTGCTCCCTCACCCCTTGCTTCTCCACCTCCCCATGATCAGYGTCCTGCTCCAGGAGTACAAATGTTACTAGTGATGAACCTCCATGGACACATCAGAAGCACCCCAAGTCCATGGTTTATATTAAGCTCACTCTTGATGTCGTGAATCCTATGGAACTGGACAAATATGCAGTGACTTGTATCCACTTTTGTAATTCCATACAGAGTGATTTTTCTTTTCTTTTTTTGCCCCACAATTAAAAAAATTCTTTAGTTGTAGATGGACACAATACCTTTATTTTGTTTATTTATTTTTATGTGGTGCTGAGGATCGAACCCAGCGCCTCCCACTCACTAGGGGAGTGCTCTACCGCTGAGCCACAACCCCAGTCCTTTTCCCACAATTTTTTATTGGTGCATTATAGTTGTACATATTRATGGGATTTGTTCAGAGTGTTTCTCACTTTCCGAAAAATCCTATGGCCTCTGTGTATTCATCCATCTTCACTCCCCTAATTCTTGTCTCCGTGATTTTTCCTTTTCCAGAATATCATATCATTGGAATCACATGGTCTTTTCAGAGTCACCTCTTTTGCTCAGTGATCTGCATTTAAAGTTTCTCCATGTCTTTTCTTGATAGTTMATTTCTTTTTTGTGCTGAGTGATATTCCATTGTTTGAATGTACCATGGCTTGTGTGTCCATTCTCCCACTGTGGAACCTGCTTCTTAATTGAACAAAATATGGAGAAAAATATCTTACATCTTTGAATGTTTTTCAAAAACATGGTTTTCAGTGACTACATGCTGAATTGTCAGATGGATAGACCACAGTTCAATCAGTGCCTTGTAGTTTTTGTTTTATTTTGTTTTTGCAGAGCTGGGGATTGAACCTAGGGCCTTGCACATGCTAGGCAGGTGCTATATCCCTAAAYTATATTCCCAGCCTTGCCCTGCAGTTTAAAAGGGGTTGTTTATTGTGAATAAAASTGTCATGTGTATCCCTGTATGTCCTTTTGCCCCTCTATGGTTATGTTTTAAAGGTAAACTCCTAGAAGTGCAATAAAGTCACTCAGTGTGATTCTTTCCATAATAAAATCTGCTCCAAGGGCCTTGCTGCCCCCATCATAGACATGGAAGAGACTGGCATGATTCTTGAGCTTTCCCTCTTTAGGTTCTTGTAATAGGTGTGCGTCACTACCAGCAGCAGCGAGTCCATCTATTTGGAAGGAAAGAAACCTCAGACTGCCAGGTTTAAATCCCACAGAGTGGAACAGGGTGATTGGTACTGCTTCTCTCATGATGCCTGGGTTAAAGAGAACCTAATTCAGTCAAAGCACGTATGCTTGACTCTACAACTCTAGCCTAGATCTAGCCCCTAGCTTCAGATTGATACATTCAACTACTTGTTAGATATGTCCACATAGCTGTTTCACAGACTTCTTAAACTCTGAGTACCTTGATATCACCTTCCCTAAACTATGTCCTCTCCTGTGTACCCTCAGATGGCTGTCTCAGTGTTGCTCTAGTCCCAAAGGTATAGTTAGACCCAAGGGTCACAGTGGTCTCCTGCCATTCATACAATTGGGATATAATATAGCCTTGAAGTATCTTAGGATCCATCTCTTCTKCTCCATCTGTATTACCCAGCCTCTGATCATCTCTTGTCTGGACCATGGTGATACCCTCCATACTAGTTATYTATTGCTGCATGACGAATCTCCCAAAACTTAGTGCCATAAAACAACCATYTGTAACCTCACATCTCCTGTGGGTCAGGAATCAGAGTGGGATTTGGATGGAGTCTCTTGCTCAAGAGACTCTGAGCTCAAGGTCTCTTGCATGAGATTGCAGTCAAGGTGCTGACTGGGGCTCATCCGAAGCCTTGATATAGGGAGGACCCACTACAAGTTAACTCACATGGTTGGTGGCAGTATTTGGTTGGTGGCAGTATTTGGTTCCTGGCAGGCCTTTGGGTCTGAGAGCTTCGGTTCCTCACTGGAGCTTTTGCAGAGACTTCCCATAGTTCCTTGTTTCTACCTAGGGCATCTCATAACATGGAAGCTGTCTCTCTTCAGCCAACAAACTAAACACAGACAAGGCTAGTCTTTTGTAACCTAAAAGTGACATCTTATCACTTTTGTTAGTTGCGAGTTACAAGGATGAAGAAGACTTGAAAGACAGAACCAAAGAACACGAAGGATTGATTGTAGCCACCAGAAGCTAGGAGAGAAGCATGGAATAGATTCTCCCTTGAAATCTTCCAAAGCCTCCCTGCTAATATCTTGATTTCAGACCTCTGGACTCCAGGACTATGAGACAAGAAATCTCTGGTTTTTTTTTTTTTTTTTTAATTTAACAAGATCTTGGGCTGGGGATGTGGCTCAAGCGGTAGTGCGCTCGCCTGGCATGCGTGCGGCCCGGGTTCGATCCTTAGCACCACATACAAACAAAGATGTTGTGTCCGCCGAGAACTAAAAAAAAAAAAAAATAATAATTTAACAAGATCTAGACATGATGACACACGCTTATAATCTCGCTTCTCTGGAGGCCGAGGCAGGAGGATTGCAAGTTTAAGGCCAGCCTGGGAAACTTAGTGAGAGCTTGTCTCAAAATAAAAACTGAAAAAAAAAGGCTGGGGGTATAGTTCAGTGGTAGAGCACCACTGGGTTCAAGGTTCAATCATCAGTCCAAAAAAAAAAAAAAAAAAAAGAAAGAAAAATGGAGCCATATAGAAATATCTAAGTAATATCTAAGTTCCCTCACATAGAATGCAGGTTCTTCAGTTTTACCTTCTTTCTCTTATCCAGGCTTATCTCCAACAGTCCTGATACATCCACATCAAACTTCTTCATTTCCCTGCTGTTACTTCCCTTTGCTAATATTGTGTCCTTTACCTGCAGTGGTTTCTCCCAATACCCTTTGCTTGTGTTCACATGTTGTAGGTGCTGCTCAGTTTCCACTACTTCCTTCCCTATGGCCTCCTCTGTGCTGTTTCCCCTCCCTCCCTCCCTAGTTTTAATGAGTATTCTAGATAGATTTAATGTGGGACTTAACTCATTGGTTGTGATTGAACTAAGGGAGGGCACATGACTCATGCGGGACCAATCAGAGTCCTTCCCTGAGGTGTTTGTTTTTTTTTTCACACTGGACATGGGATAAAAGTTGGTTGGAAGACTGAGAATTTGAATTGGAGAGTGTTGACTGCTTTTTGTCCTTGTGAAAAAGTTTATCTGCAGTTGGTGAAAATGAAGCCAAAATGTCACAATAATCAGGAGTTCAGGAGATATTGATCCCTGATTCCAGCTCTATCCTTGTCAGGGAAACCTGTATACCCTCAGAATTGCTTAAATTACCATGGTTTGAGTTGGATTTCAATCGGTCCCAGCTATGAGTCTTGACTGATATATGTGGCAAACTTAATACCCATCTTTTGAGTCTCAGCTCATCCTTTTCCAGATGTCTGCTCTGACCCCTCAAATCTAACTGGATTAGATGTCCTTTCTGAGGGCTCCCTTAATTTCCTGGAGAGTCTCTACCACTTCATTTGCCCACTCTTCCTTGGTCACCTGTGTTTTGTGTCCATCTCTTCTCCCCAGCCCTAAGCTCCTTACATGCAGGACCTGTGTTGAGTCATCTTTGCTCTCCAATGTCTAGAGTAGCACCTGCCATAGAATTGACTCAGGTAAATGTTTGTTGGATAAATAAAGTAGATACGTACTTCCAAAGTTCTTTTGGAAAGTTTCCTTTATCCTTGCAACATTTTCTATGTAGTTCATTCAGCAAAACTTTTTCTTTGCACCCTTATATTCAGGTATTTTACAGCAAGGTAAAAATTGTCATATATTTGGGATTGGGGAGTACGCTGAGTTATTGAACTAGGGTTATTTAGTATATTTAGGCAGCACAGTCTGGAATCAGGAGATCTGGGCTGCAGATCTAGCTCTGACCCAGTCTGGGGGTGTTTATCATAGAAAGTCAACTGAGAGTCCATTTCCTTTGTAAATAGAAAAGATTATATTGATCCTTCTCAGACCACAGGATTATTAGGAGGGAGCAAACAAGACAAACCGTATGAAGTTTCTTTGAAACTATTCAAATGTGAGTGATGCAATTTTATGAAAAAATCCTATGAGTTGATAACTGATAATATATCTGAAAACGTTGTCTAAGATCATCTACCAAATGCTAAACCACTTAATCCAGAAATAGTTGCCTTTTTTGCTGACACTCATGATAGTTCGTTGTGGTATTTTTAACTGCTAGGAGGTTTAGTGCTAAACATATTGCTGTTACTATAACCATCTTAGCCTAGATGTATTTTGATTATTTCTTCCTCTTCTCTATATACTTATTGATTTTTTGTTTACATTTAATGGTTTTATTGAACAAACTTTTTTTTTTTTTTTGCGGGGGGAGTAATAGACTTACTGAAATAAAATGTATATACTATCAGTTAGGTTTCTCCAGAAAGACGGAACCAATAGACTCTGTGTGTGTGTGTGTATGTGTGTGTGTTCCTTCATATACATATACATTCCTTCATATACATTAGAGAAGTTGGYTCACATAATTATGGAGGCTATGAAGTCTTCTGATAGGTCATCTGCAAGCTAGAGACCCTGGGATGCCAGTGGCATAGCTCAGTTCAAGTCTGAAGTCTTCAGAATCAGGGAACTGAGGCCGAAGACTGTCAGCCTGAGGCTGAGGACCTGAGAACCTGAGGAGGTGGGGGAAGGGGTGGACACTTGTCTTGGAGTTCCCAAAGGCCAACTAGCCTGGATTTCTATTTTTAGAGGTTAGTGTGTGTGTGTGTGGGGTGTGTGTTTGTGTGTGTGGTATTAGGGATTGAGCCCAGGGCTTTGTGAATGCTTGGCAAACTTTCTACCAATGAGCTACATCCCCAACTTGAGACTGAAGTTCCAATATCAAGGGTCAGGAGAAGAGAGCCCTAGTTCCAGGAAAGAGAAAGAGGGAATCCTCTCTCCTGTGCCCTTTTATTTTTGTTCTATAAGGACCTCAGCAGACTGGATGATGCCCACTCATATTGAAGGTGGATTCTCCCCTTTCAGTCCACTGACTTACTGCCAATTTTCTCTGGAAACATCCTCATAAACAGTTCTCTAGATGTTCTTTAAGTTAGTCAAATTGACATTTAAAATTAACCATCACACCATACAATTCACTTATTTGAAGTATGCAACCCTAAGGTTTTGATATATTTGCTGAGTTGCACAATAATCACTACAATTGATTTTAGGACATTTTTATTACCCCCAAAGGAAAGTTGTACCTGTTAGTGATAACTACCCAACTAACTCTTTTATCACCCCAGCCCTAGACAATCACTAATCTACATTTTGTCTTTATAGATTTTTTTATTCTGTACATCTCACATAAATGAAATAGTTGATATATGATCTTTGGTGTTTGTCTGGCTTCTTTCACTTAACCTAATGCCTTCCAGTTTCATCTGTGTTGCAATGTACATTTTTTAATTGGTAAAACAAATATAGTAAATACTACTTTATCCAGTTTTAAGTGTACAGTAGGTAGTATTAATTATACTTGGAATTTTTTATTTTTYAATTTACTTGAAAAAWTTTTTTAGTTGTAGATGGACATAATACCTTTATTTAATTTATTTATTTTTATGTGGCGCTGAGGAGCAAACCCAGTGCCTCACACGTGATAGGCAAGTGCTCTACCACTGAGCTGCAACTCCAGCCCTACACTTGTAATGTTGTATAACCATCACAAATGTTGGTTTTCAAAGATTTTCATCATCCCAAACAGAAACTTGGTACCCATTAAGCAATAACTTACCATTCTCTCCTCTCTCCAGTCTCTCTGACAATCTCTAATCTACTTTCTGTCTTCATACAAGTGGAATCACACAATATTTTATTTAATATAATGTTTTCAGTGTTTCCATATTGTAGTATTTAACAGAACTTCATTCTCTTTTATGGTCCAATAACATATATATATATATATATATACACACTATATATATGTATACACACACACACGTATATGTATATGTATATACATACCAACTTTTATTTATCCATTCATCTATGGATGGACTTTTGGGTTGTTTTCAATTTGGGGATACTATGAATAATTCTGTAATGGACATGCATATATAAATATCTGAGTTTCTGTTTTCAATTCTTTTGGATGTACGCCTAAGGAGTGGAATTGCTGGGTTACATAGTGATTCTGTTTAATTTTTTGAGAAACCATGAAATTGTTTTAAAGCAGCCATCTTTTGAATATATTTCAGCCCCTTTGAATTGTGAATAAATCAATAATATACTCAGGGACTTTTATAGATGAGTAGGCCCAATTCTACAAGTGAGAACTAGTGTCATTCTAGTGTGAGACTTGTGAGATCAGATTCTGACTACCAGTTTAAGCACACAGAGTACTCTGATTCCTCCTCTTTCTTTCCAGCATTGCTACAGATTTGGGTCAGAGATCTTCCTCCTCACATTCGGATCAGTCCTCTGAAAAATCATTGCCTGAAGTCCAAAAGAATAAACACCCCGAGGAATTCAGCCTGCTTAAGTTACAGACAAGTGAGTAGGTCCTAGACCTTGTTCCACGTGCCTCTGTGCCCAGGGTTATTCAGGAGTCTGCTATACTGTTGGCCACAGGCACAAAGGGCCCACTTTCTAATTCTCACAACAGCTCTGCTGGGGAGTTGTGGTCATATGTTTTTCAAAACTGAAATGTCTTTATGGAAAAATCATAAAGGACTGCTGCAAAATATTAAAATAATATAAAAGTATATAGCATGTAAAAAAATCCCTTCCCCAATATTCTCCAACAATATCCCAATTCTTCCCCATAGCTCTGAAGAGCATATATATTTTTCTAGAATTTTGTAATGCATATGTATGTCTATGTATTTAGTACACATATACMTAAACAGTCATGCACTGCATATATTTAGTATGTATACCACACTATAGTTTTACCATTATGTTAGAATGTGCTCATTCTACTGCCAAAAAAGCCTAGTATATCTCATGTTTACCATGTCTCTTTTTTTTTCCTCATTCATTGTTAAATTTTATTATTTTTTCTTTTTAGGTATACATGACAGTAGCATGTATTTTAACATATTATACATACATGGAGTATAACTTGTTCTAATTAGGATCCCATTCTTGTGGGATCCTTGTACATGATATGGAGTTTCACTGGTCAGCTATTCATACAGGAACATAGGAAAGTTATGTCAGATTCATTCTACTGTCCTTCCATTCCCATCACCCTCCCGTCCCTTCTTTCCCCTTTGTCTAATCCAATGAATTTCTATTCCCTCCCCCTCTACCATGTCTTTTGAATGCATCAAGAGCCCTCATTGAGCCAGTGACCTGTACCATCCAGTTTTGTGTAAGCATATGCTATGGTGTTCTACAATGACACTTTTTTTTTTTTTTTGAATCAGGGGTTGAACTCAGGACACTTTGCTACTGAGCCACATCCCCAGCTCTATTTTTTTTTTTTTTGTATTTTATTTAGAGACAGGGTCTCACTGAGTTGCTTAGCAACTTGCTTTCACTGATGCTGGCTTTGAACTCTCAAACCTCCTGCCTCAGCCTTCTGAGCCAGTGGGATTACTGGCTTACAATGAAACATTTAATGACACATCTAATGACACGTTTCTCAAATCATAAGTGATGCATGCATGCACACATATAAAATAAATGAGTTGCAGTATACAGACTATTTTCACTCTATAGTGAATAAATCATGCATGTCTTTTGTGCTGGTACATTTAGATCTTTGTGGCTATTATAGACCTACTCATTTTACAGAGAAGGGAATTGTAGCATGGGGAGATTTGATCACCCATATAAATACACATAGTCAGGAAGTAGAGCAATGGGATTAGAACCCAAACTTGGCCTGTGCCCTTTCATGATCATCCCAGAGCCTAAGGGTTTTCAAGCAACCCTGGAGCTTCTCGGGAATCTTTTATTGTTTAAAATAACTGTTTGCAATGTTACAAGGAAAGTGCTAAATTAGGCACTGAGAGATGAAATAACTAGCCTGAGGTCTTGCAGCAGCTTTTGTATTTGATGCTACCACATGCAGACATTAGGGGAGTCACTGTGGTGACTTCATTGGCCATTGTTGCTGTCAATATCAAGTTCCACCCAGCTAGGATGCCATGCCATGGTTGGCCTAGTCTTTTCCTGGTCAATGGGCTTTCTGGTTTTTTTCTACACAGTTATCAGAGTAAAGGTTTAAAACCGTCTCTGAACTTTCCAACCCATACATGATTTCCCTGCATAAATTTGGCTTTATTTTTGAAGGAGAGGTCAAAAAGGAAATAATTATTAGGCCTTTAGGTACCTTTCTCTCCCTTTTGTGCCTCATCCCACAAAAGGTTGACACTGTCCCTGATGGAGAACAAGGAATTATACATACTGGTTAAGGTTGTACAGCTGGAGAGTGTCCAGGGAGTTGTCACCACTTTTTGTCATCTAGTTGCATTCCGAGGCTGGGAGCAGTGTTAATGGAAGGATTTCTGATATCTTGCAGAAGATGGGCAGCGTCCTGAGTGGACTTTTTACCCGAGGTTTAGCAGCAATATCCACACCTACCATGTTGGAAAGCAGTGCTTCTTCAATGGGGTCTTCCTTCGCAATAAGAGATCTGTGTCAGAGAGGACGGTGGATCAGTGCCTYGGGAGAAAGAAACATGGTAATGTTTTCCTCCTGGACCTTGACTCTGCAATGCCTGAGAAAGCTCTTGACTCATGGTTTTGCAGGCCGGCCTTTGGCAGGCTGGGGCAGCCCTGCAGGGTCACTATGTCACCCTAGTACACAGGAAGGTAGAAAAACAGAGAGGACAGTTGGCAGGTGACATGTTTTGGCAATGAACTCATGACATATGCTGATCCACATTTTTGTTTTGCTCTGAATTTCATAAAATGCTAATGTGACATTTAAGTCATCAGATAAGTTCTCTCAGATAGTTATTAATAGAAACCTCATTGAAGTCCGATTCAGTTAGATGCTGCCTGTCACATGCATTCAAAATGTTTTATGTTTTCCACAAGGAAAATATCCCATAAACCTTAGCCTGAAGTACATGTTGTTGTTTTGTAACTATTTAATTAAAAGAAATTAATATGAAAAAAGTTGTGCACACACACACACACACACACACACACACACAAAATCTCCTTGGCTTGTAATTTGGTGAGTTCTCTGCCCCTAGCTTACTCTTTGTGTTTTTTTTGGAGTGGTACTAGGGATTGAACTCAGGAGCACTTGGCCATAAGCCATAGCCATAGCCCTATTTTGTATTGTATTTAGAGACAGGGTCTCACTGAGTTACTTAGTGCCTCGCTTTTGCTGAGGCTGATATTGAACTCAGGATCCTCCTGCCTTAGCCTCCCAAGCCACAGGGATTACAGGCATATGCCACTGTGCTGGGTCCCAGCTTAACTCTTTTTTTTAAAAAAAATATTTATTTTTTAGTTGTAGTTGGGCACAATATCTTTATTTTATTTATTTATTTTTTATGTGGTGCCGAGGATCAAACCCAGGGCCTCTCATGTGCTAGGTGAGTSCTCTACCGCTGAGCCCCAGCCCCAGCCCCACCATACTGTAAATGGACTTACTGAAAGGTCCTAAGGGGTTGCAAAGGACCAATGGGCCACTCGTGGCCTCTCTTTTTATAGAAATACCTGTGTAGGAGGAGACAGCCAAAGTTTGGGGGATGAGTAGGTTTACTGTAGTAGGAGTACAAACAGAAAGAAGTCAAAAGTTTTCAATTTTGAGATTTAAAAGAGATTTTAAAGCTCATAGCAGAGACAAATAGTATTGAAAATCAAGGCTTTTATTTATTTGATCAGAGAACACATGAAAATCCATACCAGATGAGCTAGAAGAGTGGTCACAGATTTAGGAGTTGTGGAGGAGCCTGGAACCCTGCCCAACTCCTGTTCTGCATGTATATATCAAAAGGAAATGGGATAATCAATATGATCCAAATCATAACCCTAATATATCACTTCCCAACTACCTCCAAAGTGGGCATTATCCTTGGATGTGCTTGGATATTTGCATATCCTTAATACCTGTACTTCTCACACCATTAAAGAAATAGAATATTGTTTTTATATTTGAAGCCTCTGATATGCCTCTTCTAGAATATTGCACATCTCTCTCCCACTCCAGAGGTAATGCCAATTTTACATTTATTAAAAAGAAAAAAATATTCTATAAATCTTCAAATATGCTAAAGTAGAGAAATATCATGTTGAAACCTGATGCCCTCACTCCCTTTATGTCAATTATTGTCAATACGAGGCTTATTTTTTCATCTTTACCCTCCCCTTAGGGATTATTTTATTTAATTAATTTTTACAGGTATAATTTTTATTGGTGCATTACAGTTATGCACAATAGTGGGATTTATTATGCAATATTCGCATATGCATATAACATAATTTGATCAATCTCATTCCCTAGTATCTTCCTTTTCCCTCTCCTCTTCCCTCCCCAATCCACTTGCTTTACTCTTTAGGGATTATTTTAAAGCAAATTACAGATAATATAATTTTATCTGTAAATATATCATATAGAAAAAGATTGTTTCTATTAATATAACCACAATACCATAACACATTATCATATCTTTAAGAAATGAACAGTCATTTCTTAACTTCATCAAATATTCAGTGTGAAAATATCCAGTTGTCTCATAAATCTCATAATTTAAAAAAATTAATTAGTTTGAATCAGGATTCAAATGAGGCCCACACATTGAAATTAGTTGGATTTCTTTTAAATCTCTTTTAATGTATAGATTCTCTTCCACTTTTTATGTGCAGTTTATTTGGTGAAGAAACAAACTTGTCCATAATTAGGATTTTGCTGATTATTTTATTAAACAGTACTGTTTAATATTTTCCTTAGTACTGTTTAATATTTTCCCCTTCCCTGTGTATTTTTCTATACCCTGGTTATTGGAGCTACAGGCTTGATTTGTTTTAGTATGATACTTAGGTGATATTGTGTAATGACTTCTTTATTTTTATTTTTATTTTTTGATACTGGGGATTGAACCCAGCACCTCATGTATGTTACTAGGTAAGTACTCCTTAACCAAACTACATCCCCAGCGCTTTTAGTTTATTTTGAGACAGGTTCTCCCTAAGTTTCCCAGAGTAAACTTGAACTTGTGGTTCTCCTGCTTCAGCCTTCAGAGTAGCTGGGATTACATGCCTGTACAATGACTTCTCTTCATATTAAATGCAATGATCTTTTTCCATTTCTTCTCTTCTTGATCTCCTTGCAGCATTTGATACTGTTAAGCTTGACACTGGTCACTACTTCCTTTGTAGAATTCTCTCTACCCTTATTATTTCTCAGACAAGCAAGAAATGAAGGAGCATGATCAGGAACTGCCAGCCAGTTGCCATTTTGAACTGCAGTGCATCACATTTATTACAGAGAAAAATAAGTCAAAATATATTTAAATAATGGTTGTCTCTAGTTCATCAGTTACGATCAGACTAGTGGTGGAGTTCCCTAAAGGCCTAATTGTTGCCACAGAAAAAAGAACAAAATGGTTATAGATATACATTGTAGGGAAATAGGCCTGAAAGTAAATGTTTTTTTTCTATTGGATAGCTCTTCCTACAGGAAAGTATATTATGCAAGTCAGAGTAGGATGTTTTCTGATGCAGTATCAATCCCTGAAATCTCTGAAATCCTGAAATATTAGAAGCTTAATCATTAAAGTTGCTTTATTTTCTTGTAAAGTTTGCTATGAATCCAGTAGCCTTTCCTTTTTCCACTTGCTAATATTATCCTGTGAGATCTTTTACAATAGTTCATTTCTACATATTGTCTTCAGACCACTTGCACCATAATCAGCTAGAGAGTTTGCAAAATAAATAGACAATATTAAAAATAAAATAAAATACATTTAAAAATCCTAGTTTTGGAAACCTCTCCAGATCTTCTGAAACACAGTTTCTTGTGTTGGAATCAGTAATCTGCATTTTTTAAATATTTATTTTTTAGTTGTAGTTCACTTATACCTTTATTTCACTTACGTATTTTTATGTGGTGCTGAGGATCGAACCCAGGGTCTCGCACTTTCAAGGCGAGTGCTCTACTGCTGAGCTGCAACCCCAGCCCAGTAATTTGTATTTTTAATAAGCTCTCTGGGTCAYTCTTAGGTGTGCTAAGATTTTAGAGGCTCTGTTCTGTAGTATATGGCACTTACTGCTTTCTAGAGTTATCTCCTATTTGCATATGTTGTCTCCCACCTAGAAAAGATTTCCTAGGGCGAGGTTTCTTCTTAGCTATATGGCTATTGTAGTTCCCAGTTAAAAATTAGTTGAGATGGGAAAGTATGAGTCTAGTTCTGATTTCAAATAATAAATAATTGCTACCATTTCTTGAACACCAGTTACATGCTCTGAGCATTTTCATCTGTTACATGATAACACTGCAAAGTACCCTTTTGAAATAAACAGTTTGCAAAGGAGGTTTAGGGAGATTAAATGCCTCAAGGGCACAGAACTAGAAATGGCAGAATTGAATTTGCTCTCAGGTGTGACTGATTCTGAAGTCCAAACTCGTTTCAGGACCTCTCACCTGACTCTCATCTGTCACTACCCTAGTTAGGGATTCAAAAGATACAGTCCCTTTACTCTCCCTGCTTTGAATCCTCAGTGGACATTCAAGGCATGGGTATAGCTGGTGAATGGGTATAGTCTAGATACATTCTTGGCTGTTGAAAAGTCTTTTGAAAGAGTCAGGCAAAAATTCAAATTCTTCAGTAACTCTAGAACTCCCACCTGTTGTGCAGATAACTTCCTGAGTTAGCTAGAGACAGTGTAGTCTGCAAACAGCTTATCAAAAATCTGTCCCAGCTGTCCCTCTGGCTTGCATTTTGTAGATACAGTTGAATTAAGTAGTATCAAAACAAACCTTTCAAGAGAGAAAGAGAGAAGAAAGGAGGCCTGATCATTGTAAATGTGGCAAAGAGGGTCATTGTCATGCCTCCAGCCAGGCATTGCTGTTCCGAGCCCAGGGCTGGCTGGTTTCCTCTGTCCAGCCTTGTTCTCTTAGGAGATACACATAGTGTYGGGCATGCGGGTTTAGTGACCTTCTGGCACCGCTCTGCCTGCTCTCCTGTGCATGTGGTTGCTTTCTTGTTCTTGGGCATTATAAGAAGCTGAGCTGGGTGTCAGGGCATCATGGGCCCAGAGAACAGGGCACACCCAACAGCAGTGGACCTCTTCTCCACAGCTCTTCACCAGGAAGGCACATCCTGATGCAGAGCCACCCTAACTTTGAAGTAGGAGATCAGGACACTCATGAGCTGTTTTCCTCCTGAGGCCMAGTCAGAGGGCAGAATCCCAAGGACACCTGCTTCTTGGACTTCTTAAAACTCAGGGCTTCAAAGTGCAATACGGCTCAGGTGCACTCATGAAAAGATTTTAACGTTAGACACCTTTCAAATTGTCACAAAGACATCTCTCATTTACTATATATTTTGAACCAAAACATTGCATCTGAACCCAAGCTTGTTCTTTTTTCCCAAGGTGAGGAAATCTTAACAACACCATTTAGAAAATGTTCCAAACCCAGGCTCACACTTTTATCTTCATCTCCTCAAGGCAAGATAATCACAAATAGAACTTCAGGAAACCTCTATGTAACTCAATTAAAGTCTGAGTTAAAACAAGAATCAGTCTGTTTCCATTGTCATGTTGCTGCTAAGAGCTAACTTGGGGGTCATCTCCACTCCTTTGTGTGATGTTGTTTTCAAATGTTCTCTGCAGGTATTGATTCTAGGAATGGAATTCCAGAGTTCACTCCAGGGGACAATCCGTATATGTTCCCAGAACAGAGTAAAGGCTTCCACAAAGTAGGATCCACTCTGCCACCAGTGAACTTTTCATTGTGAGTGCCTGTTAATTCCACAGTTACTTTATTGACTTTAAAGGATTTATGTCTATCTTCTACATATAAATTATATTTTTAAAGGGGTGTATCTCAGCAAGACATAATCTGGTGAAATTTTTATCTTTAGTTAATTAGTGTGTGCACACATGTGAAATTACAAAATACACAAGATGAAAAGAATTTAAAAATTCAACTTACACATAGTAACTGCACATATTTATGGGGTACAGTGTGATATTTCAAGATGTGTCTACAACTGTATGCAAGGTCTTGACTGAAAAAAAGTGGTTGTCATTTTTTYCCCTATTTCTAGGTTTTTGAATTTTTATGCGAAATTAGATTGTTGGTTACTGACTACTTGGTTGATTTAAACTTGGAAGTAAACTTAGGCCCTAGTGATTTAGGAGAACAAGGGAATCACTACATTAAAACAGTTGCAGCATCGCATTTAAAATAAAAGTTTAAAAATTAACCATGTGAGATATAATAATTTTGATTAAAGATAATAAAAATATAAAAGTTATAACCTTTAGAGTTTTTGAAGGTTGTACTTGAAAATTAAAACAGGAAAACAAGACATTTTTGAACATAATAATTTATTAATCTCTATGCTGTTGAAAGCCATATCAATTTTATGGTTGCTTTTTCTGTTTTTCAGAGTGCCTTATGAAAAGAAATTTGATACATTTATTCCACTTGAGCCTCTTCCACAAGTTCCCAAGTGAGTTTCCCACCAAATTTTATGTTATCTCATCTTTATGAAAACATCAATTATTTATTATTTCCTCCTATTGAGGAGTCTGTAACAATCAACACCTAGGGACCTTTTGAATCCGGCAGTAGGGTGGGGTAATTTGTGAGGAGGGCATTTGAAGGGACTGTGGTCAAGTGTTTGTGGCATCTGGTCACTGGGATGGGCATATATTCAAGAGATGTGATTAGCAAATGATCACATCCATATGCTGTGTTAAGTGTGCATGATAGGAGAGTTTACATGGAGCAAATAGACAGGCTCCTTGCTTCCAGAACAGAGAGAAAGTAGCAGAGCACTCCTGTATCTGAGGGGACCATCATTCCTCTGCCTTTATACATTTATTCAGCTCCCCTCTGAACCTCATTTATTTACCTAAGTAGGTTTCTGACTGAGGAGGAGTATTGAAAAAGAAAGATCTATCTTTTTTTTCAATTCTTTTGCTTTCTAACACAAACATATAAGTATGGATAAAGTAAGCAAATATCCAAGAGTCTGACCTACCAGAGTTCAGGGTGGTTGAAACAAACCCGGAGCTCGGTGGGAAAATATATGCCCTTTATTTCAAACTTGGGAGCTTTTTTTAAAAAAATATTTTTTTAGTTGTAGATGGACACAATACCTTTATTTTATTTATTTTTATGTAGTGCTGAGGATCGAACCCAGGGCCACACATGTGCTAGGTGAGCACTCTACCACTGAGCCACAACCCCAGCCCACAAACTTGGGAGCCTTAATACCTTCCTTATGTTGCATTATTACTTACAGCACATACTTAGGATTTATGCTCGTACTCTAAATTTTTAAAAATACTATTCTAGAACATTCAAAATAATAATTGCCTAAATCCCATCATCCCACCCAACTATTTTAGCTTTTTTTAATATTTATTTTTTTAGTTGTAGTTGGACACAATACCTTTATTTATTTTATTTATTAATATGTGGTGCTGAGGATTGAACCCAGGCCTCGAATGTGCTAATAAGCAAGCACGCCACCRCTGAGCCACAACCCCAGTCCCTATTTTAACTTTTGTATGTTGCCTTTCATATTTTCATATCCATGCATAATTCATATTGCATGGATAAATAGAATAGCAATGTGCTTGGTTTTCCTAAAACAAAGGTAAGTATTTTTTATTTTTGAGAAGGACAAAACACTGTAGACCAACATATTCTTTTGAGCTGTGGTCAGTAAGAGAATTGGGAAACTTGGGCCCTTTCCCTGGACAGTTACCCTGAATGAAATATCTGCCAATCTGTTAGTCATGGCAGGAGATAGRAAAGCTTTTGGTTTACCATTTACATTTGTTGTTTTCTCAGTTCATTATTTTCTTTGCATTCTAATTTCCTGCTATTCCCATTTAATGACTATTGCATATTTAATCTCTAGAAATTTCATTTGATTTTTAAATATCTTTTATTTCCTTCCTATTTTCATATTTTCCCTAAAAAACTGAATATAATTTTAATAGCTATTGTAACATTTTTGTCTGAACTCAATGATTGCTTGTCATTTCTCAGTCTGTTTCTACTGAATAATTTTTTCCCCTAGTTATGATTATGTTTTCTTTCTTCTTGGCATGACTAGTGATTTTTGTTGGGATACTGGACATCGTAATTTCACATTGTTGAATGACTGGATTTAATCTAGCAGGAAATTAAATTGCTTGCAGTTTTATGATCTTTTTACTTTTATTTTTTATTATTATTTGTATTGTATGATCCATGGGTCTTTCCTTTTTGTTCTTCCTGTTTTTTTTTTTTTTTTTTTTTTGTGGGAGGGCAGGAATTAAACCTAGATCCTTGTATTGTTAGACCAGGACGCAAGAAAAGACCACTGACTCCAATTAAAATCAAATTAAAGCAAGCTTATTATTTGGACCGGCCGGGCTGCCCCTCTCTCCCCAAACAGCGGGAACAAGACAGCAACCCCAGCTTTTCTGCAGCCCAGCTTTATAGCCCAGAAAGTTACACAAAGGGGGGTTACAGATAACAGAACTCTGACCAGCATCACACTAATGGTAGTTTACATTTTTTTTGCTGGCCCCAACATCAGAATTTATGAGGACCATTAGAGCCTCAGAGAGGGTCGTTGTCTGGCCAGGGAAGGCCAATATTTATGAGGTGTCACTAAGTTTCAGAGAGGGCTGCTATCTGGTCAGAGAGCCAGGCATGGGTGAGTACAAGGCATGGGCAGGCATTCCAAGCAGGTTCAGAATTTGCAGTAATTTATAGTAAAGCYGAAATTATCTTTTCATGGCTTTGTGGCGAGATGGCTCCCAATTTTAAGAAAAGATCAGGTTGGGTCTATCAGTATGTTCTATGCAAACACTACAATGAGAGGTCCAGCTCCAGCCTTAGTTTTATTTATTTTATTTTTTTTAAAGAGAGAGGGGGGAGAGAGAGAGATAATTTTTTTATATTTATTTTTTAGTTATTGGCGGACACAACATTTTTGTTTGTATGTGGTGCTGAGGATTGAACCTGGGCTGCACGCATGCCGGGCGAGCGCGCTACTGCTTGAGCCACATCCCCAGCCCCTTAGTTTTATTTTTAAATTTGTTAGGGTATGTCTAAAGTAGAATTTAGTCTAAAGATACTGTAACACYGCTACTGAAGTATAGCCCTTTTAGGGTCTTTGCTGAATGCCTTCACTGATTAGCAAGTCTTCACTTTTGTGGTAGGAACTTCCATGACTGACCCCTTTGTGAGCCATGAGAATAATTCAGTTCACAATCACTCTATGTTTTGTGGAGTTCTATCCTAAACATTAATATTCAGCAAAGACTCAGAGGGACTGACATGTAAATTTCCAAAGCTCATTTTCTATACAGTGTCTTCTTTTCCAGGACTCTGCTCTGTAGCTTCCAACTCTGATCTCTGATCTCTGGCCCTTTGAACTTAGARTACCATAGTTGCTTGGGATTGCCCATCTCTGCTCTGTGGTATGGAATGCATGTCTCCTTGAAAAAGCTGGGTGATCATAGGACTCTCATTTGTTTTCCTTTTCTCTAAGACCACAATCTTATGTTGTTTCATGTCTGATGGCAATTGTTTCATACATTTTGTTCAGTTTTCTAGTGAAAGCCACCTTATTACCTATGAATAAAATTTATAGGTGTTTTTTTCCCTTTCCCAAATTATTTGGTAAATCAGTTTTGTGCAATTGCATTGCTCTCATTAAAATTATTCACATCAGTTGGGCTTTGTGGTGGGTGCCTATAACCTCAGCTATTCAGGTGGCTGAAGCAGGAGGATTGCTTGATCTCAGGAGTTCAAGGCCAGTCTGAGCAAAATAGTGAGACTTTGTCTTAAAAAAAAAGTTCTAGAGGTGTAGTTCAGTGGTAGGATACCCTTGGGTTCAAACCCCATCATAAGGGAAAGAAGTTATTCACATCTTTAAATATCATGCTGSCTAGAGTCTAGTATGGTGGCACATGCTGAGACAGAAAGACTCCAAGTTTGAGGTCAGCCTGGGCAACTTAGTGAGAACCTGTCTGAAAGGACAACCTAAGAAGGGCTGGGGATATAGTTCAGTGGTAGAGCGCCCCTAGGTTCAATACCCAGGACCAAAAAATAAACAAACAAACCCCCACAAACAAACAAACAATCCCTCACTGTGCTTAGAAATTAAAAATGTTAAATCTGTAAATGCAACAATCTAACTTCAAGATGAGGACAAATCCTGATAACTGAATGTCTTCTATGACTTTCCCCAGTCTTCCTTGCTTTGTCTCTAGCTAGTTAGAGACAAATCCAGAATTAGAATATGAATTAGGGAGGTGAGATTAGTAATTGAATAGTACTGTAATTTGCAATATGTCTATGGGAATTATTTAATCAGCTCAACAGATATCAATAGAGTGCCATTTGTGCTCTTGGGTTACAAGAGAAATGGAAAAGTGGTGAAGTGATGGAGGGAGAGGTCAGAGTGAGGAGTAAGATAYAATGCATGTTTCATGTATAATTGTCCAATGGGAGAAGAGACCTGTAAATAGGCAATCATAAAACAGTTCATATGGTACAATGTGTAGAGTAGAGGGCAATATGTATGGGGGAAAATTGGGCATATGTTGTAGAGGAGGCAATATTTAATCTGGGTCCTAATGGTAAGTGAAGTTTATTAGCAAAGAATAGAGGAAGGCCAGTCCCGTTACTATAGACCCAAGGAAAAAATATTATGATGTGTGTTATATTAGGACACTTTAACAACTTTGAAATCAGGATGTACCTTACAATCAACGTAGGGTAGGTATCATTAGTAAATGTGACAGTTTCCACATGAACTATGCTTGAAAAAATGTATATTTTATTTAATCAGATGCAAAGTTAGATACACGTGTTGTGTTGTTTAGTCTTATTGGTTGTGTTGTTTAGTCCCTATATTTCCTTATTTCATTTTGTCCCACTTGACCTAGCTTAGACTGAGAGTTGGTGGGGTAAAATGTTTGTATATTCATGTGTTTCTAGCTTGGTGTTAATTGTTTTTTTTTTGTGTGTATGTTGCTGGGGATTGAACCCAGGTTCTTGTGCATGCAAGGCAAGTACTCTACTAACTGAGCTATATCCCCAGAAACTGTGTTTTTTAACATCGTAAAAAATCTGTATTTTTTATTTAATGCTTTCTGCCTTAAGTATACCTTAAGCTATAACCAGATATAGTCAGATATTATAACTAAACTCCTGTCAGGCAAAGTCTATAATCCTAGCTACATGGGAGACTGAGGCAGGAGGATCAATAAGTTCAAGGCCAACCTGGGCAACTTTTAAAAAATATTAATTAATTTATTTGTTCTAATTAGTTATACATGACAGCAGAATACATTTCAATTCATAGTACACAAATGGATCACACTTTTTTCATTTCTCTGTTTGTACACAAAGTAGAGTCACACCATTTTTGTCATCAAACATGTACCTAGGGTGATGATGTCTGTCTCATTCCACCATCTTTCCTACCTCCATGCC